TAATTTATTTTTATTTGAATTTCCTTTCTAAATCACTTTTTTCTTTTATATTTAGAAAAGTACCGTAGGTGGTATACATTGTTTTTAAATGCATAAAATTTTTATAAATACTTTGGTTCCAACATTTTATTGTTAAAATTTATTTCTGTGAATTTTCTATTTTTTTAATTTTACCGAGATAATGTAACTTAAGGAGTAATCTTTCTATAATACCATAATATAGTATATGTATAAATTAATTGCAATATTTAATAATAATCTAAATTTCAATATTAACATAGGTAGTTAATAATATGGTGTACATATGAATTGAAATAATATATAACAAATAAAATACTTACGATATCTAATGATACAATAGAATACTTCTTCTCCTATCTTATATTAATATTCATCCATAGCTCACTTTCTGTAATTGTTCTATATAATTTTACTATATAGATATGCATATCTCTAAAACTTTGTGTTCTCTAAAAGTGTGTTCTAGAGTAATATCGTTTATTTGCATATGCAGTTTGGATTTTCAGTTTTTTTTTCAGTATTATTATTGATAAAGAAGGGATTGTGCACTGCTACCTGAAAGATATATTGTGCCCCTTACTCGGGTTAGAGTGTTTCTCCAAGGATCATCAGATGTTCATACTCATAACTTTCTTATATGTAACATATGTATATAAAATAACTATTTTATATAATAGTAGAAAAAGAGCTCAACTGAAAGTCCTCAACCTGAAAGTTCTTTAAATTTATTTCAAATCTTCCAGATGACCACCTTTAAAGCGCACAGGACTAAATTTTTTTGTTTTTATTGCATAAGATGGATTATCGGTAAAGTTAATATTTGTCGGGTTCATACAAGTACACGGCATTAATTAGCTTCGTTTTTGTTTTTTAGCATGGGTGAAATCTAGTACCTTTAGGATCTTTTAAGACGTCACCCTGAGCTTGTTTTTGAGTATTCGTTGCTTGGCTGTTTTCAATATGTTTAGTTAATCAGCCTAGTTCGTTTACCTTTTACCAACTCGAGCCTTTCATTTAATTTCCTCCTTAATTTAGTTTCAAGGATAAATACAGTTGTTGTCCAACCATTATTATAGAGTTCTACAACATAGAGTTTTTTTTGAAAGTTTATATAAAGATCACTTTCATTACAGAATGCTCGCGATCTTAGAAGCACTTTGTTTAAAGAATATTGTCGAATTTTGCAGTTGCATTAGAAAGATATAGACAAAAAAAATATATTTGATATCTCAAGGCACCATTTCTATTCAAAATTTTGATTGTGTTTCACAAGAAGTAAATTGAATTCTACGAATGTGGAAATGCCTAATTCAAAAATGTTTTCTTGAATCATGTGAATTCTGGGTTGATTTTAAGATAATACCCATTACATATCGATAATACGAAGTTATATTTTAAACTTTGAAATATTTTTAGAGAAACATTTTAAGCGATAAATCTAATTTATGGTTATGGTTATTTATTCCTTGCTAAACTTCATTAGTAGTATACTCGTCTTAAAAATTATGAACATTAAAAATGTTATGAACAAAATGTTGACCAACTGTAATCCGTCATCACCTCAGATTTCATCGAAACTGTTAGAGAATTTATTAAAGATAAACCAAAATCTTCGTTAAAATTCACGTAAGTGGAATTGAGCAATTTAAAACGTTCATTTAATGCTTTTTAACCAAACGTTAGGTATTTTTGCAACATCACATATAAAGGAGACCCCATCATGTTCACTTTGGAAAAAGACCATCTGTTGACCAAGTTTATAAATAATTTTTTTTACAAAAAACTGAGACGTACATACTTCTGAACGCTTGACAACAATAAAAATAGTTATCAGTTGTTGAAATATATGGTAGTCATTGTACGATTCAACACTTCTGCCCTGTACTGAAGTCCATATTTTTTTAAACACAATTTTAAAATACCATTACAAATTGAAAATGAAAACTGAAATTAAAAAAATATAATATCTCATTTTTTGTGATTAGTATTTTAAAAAGCAAATCGGGACCAGAGATTTGCAACGAACAGCCCATATATTTGATTTTGTAGTAATTTCTTTACATAAGTATTGCATCGGAAGTGCATCTTTCAAAATTTTGTATGCAAGTAACCTGGTCTTATGACAATATCAGTAATTTTTATTTCATTACAAGTAGTCGTAAGATGGACTAAATTTTAAATAAAATTATTAGTGGTACTTTCATAGACTTCTACGAAGATCAAAATCTGCACCGAATAAATACACCATATTAAAGGAACCATTCATTTATTCTTTATTGTGAAATATATTCAAATTTTTTCTGAAGATTTAAGAAATCAATTCCTATTTCTTAATAAATTCTATTGAAAAGCACAAAAAAAAATTTTAAAAAATATACACAAAAAAAAATGTTTTTCCTAGAAAGTTCATTGTTTTGTAAATATTTTCATTCTGGACCCTTTTGATTTTCTATATAAATGTGAATCTTAAATTCTTAAATAGTTTAGGTAATCCGTTAAGACGTCATTATTTCTAGCAACACATAGCACATAGTCCAAAGCAGCAACAAAAATATTTTCAAAGAAACATGTCAAACTCTAGTCGGGACATTTATATATAGAATTTATTCTATTAATACTATTTGTATTTATGATAAATAGTTTTGAGTGTCGATTCTTTGGGTATCGGGACATACTGGCGTACGGGAAAACGAAAACGCGGACAAACTAGCCAGGATAGGAGTAGCCACACCGATTATGTGTCCGGAACCCCCTTTATGGACTAGGACATAGTACGCTCCTTCCTCTCATAAAAATAAAGGAGAACCTGAATAAAAAGAATTACTGGAATAATAAATGAGGATTAAAACAATCCATATCACTTATTGCTACCTATAACAATAAGAGTTACTAGGATTGTATGAACCTATCAAAAAAAAAACAGAATCATGTCAGGAATGTAAACTAAAATACCACCTTACGGGACTAGGTATAATTACGGATGAAAAGTGTAGATTCTGTGAAAAGAATGAGGAGTCGGCCACACATGTGCTGTTAGAATACCCTGCGCTAATGCACATACGAAATAGGCTTCAGGGAATGTATATTCTTATGGAAGAGGCAATAAAACTCTTCAAAGTACGTTCTATACTACTTTTAATTGACTCAGCAGTGCTTAGACCTACTCTAAGCCCAGAAGGGGGCATAATAGACCCGACGGTCGCAGTGTCACATCTCCTTACGATAATAATAATAATCAATCATTTTTATGGGTAACTAATACGTAACATATGATATTGAATAGAGTTCGCTAAAATTGGGCTGGTCACTTGAATAAATAATACGTGTAGTATTTTATAGAGCAACTGAATTATTTTCTAAAATTATATAAGTAAGATATAAAGTCATGGGGTAATAGTTTCGAACGGGTTTCTTATTACTTGCTAAGCTTAATTCTGTTTATATTATCAAAATTGCAAGAAATTCATCTACTTGTGTAAGCCGAAGTGATCAAATTACTCGTTTCAACTTGCACTCTTGAGTGTCCATCCATTTAAATTATTGCTTCAGTGACATCATAGGACTTGCAACTCTCAACTTCGGTTGCTAAAATGTCGAACTCTTGCAGTTGCTGTGCAAACTGGACTGATGCCACACAAAACATATCCGCAATGCACGAGTATCTCACTTTAGTTTGGAGCTTGCGATGTGCAAATGTTCATTTTATGGCCTGAGGTAACGCGCTGCAAGTGGTTTGATTTTTCTTGATCTTTGTAAGGTTTGGCGCAATGCTTTGTTAACTTGAACTCGAACTTTTGCAGTTTTTCTCTCCGAATTTAGGTTGTTTTTGTTATTATTGCTTGGCTTTGCAACTTTAGCAATAATTTTTCGATTGCACATCAACAAAAGCTGCTTGTAGGAAGTTGTAAGGCGCATGTTTAACTGAAGATGCTGTTGCAGATGGCTATCTAAAACGTCGCTTCCTTGAAAGATATTTTTGCAATTTCGGTGCTAAAAATACCGTTTCGAGTGTGATGCAACCTTATATGAAGTTATTACGCAATTCGCTCAAATTATGCATTTCCCACCGCCGTTTCCCATCGCATTTCATTATATCATGCTGGGCCACATATACTTAAAGCTTTTTTATAGTCTCTTTGGTGCTTAGTTGGCACATGGAATTCAATCATAGTGTAGGATATAGGTATATAATACAGATGCAACAAGCAACAAACAATTTATCACACTTTTTTGTGTATTTCATTTCTTAGACTTTTATTAGTTGTGTGCTTCCGCATTCAGACACAACCAATTTTTAATTGAATCTTACTTGCCCTATAAAATGTGATGGTTTTAATTGTTCAGTTTCACTTATTTTCGATTTATATAATCTATAATATATAATAAATCAATTTAACTTTTACATCTGAAAAATAGTAGAAATATTAATACATATTTTGAAGATCCTTTCTGACCTGCAACCACATAGCCCGACAACATTTTAATGATTCTCGAAATTATCGCATTATAGTTAAGAAATTCTTCTGAATTTCATGATTATTAAGGATGTATTTATATATTAATGAAATTATAAACAAAACCATTTATAAAGTTGAATAACAAAGGATTTCCAGTTATCCCTGGTGTTGATCATAATCTTTTTTTATGTTCTTTCTGCTTTGGAAAAGCATTCTGAGTCTATAAGTTATATACAACTACATATATATATAATTAAAAATTAAAAAAAAAACTTAAATAAGTTATTTTTTTTTAATTAAAACCTTTATGATTAAGAAATTACCATTTAAGAAATGAACCATATCGTTACCTCATTTACTACAGATGAAAATAAAACGATTAAATCGATTTTAAATTTTTTTATTTTATATAAAAATGAAATTTATTTAAATAATTTTAAAAATTTCATACATTCAGTTCAAAAAGTTTCCTCCAAGTTGCGTATATTAAAGGCTTCACAAATAGATTCTATCAAAATTCTAATAGGGCTTGAAAATCTTCACAGTATTTACATTTGCAAGTTTGACTAATTTGCATAAATTTTACATTTTTTACAATCAACAAATTAAAATTATATGAACAAGCTTACTCATGTGTAACGAAAGCTAAGTACAAGGATATATATTTACATGTGTAGAATCACTGACGTGATAAGTTCTGTGCGGACATAGTACCGATCGATTTAAACTTAATATTAACGGTATTGTATAAAAATAATTGATTTGTATTATTTAATATATCAGTGCTGGAGCATTTCATTTGCTGCTCAATATTGTTAGCTTTGTAAATATTGTTTTTGCAGTTCAATCCCAACCATGATGACTAACAGGTACCCAAACTTTTTCCCAAACAGGCTTCCACACTTTTTTCAATTCTGGCACTTTAACTTCTTTCCATACAGGAACTTTCTTTGATACCCACTCTTCTTTCCATGCTTGTTTCTTCTCCGTAGCCCATGCTTGTTTCTTTTCTGTACGCCAAATTTGTACTTTTTCTTCCACCCATTTCTCCTGTTTTTCTTTTACCCAAATTTGCTTTTTCACCGGTTTCCAAATTTGTACCCATTCAATCTTCCAATCAAGTTTCTTTTCCGTTTTCCAAGCTTGCTGTTTCTCGGTTTTCCATTCTTGCACTTTATCCGTCTTCCATTCCTGTACTTTTTCTACTTTAAAATCTTGTACCTTTTCAGTTTTCCATTCTTGTTTCTTTTCTATTTTCCATTCTTCTTTCTTTTCTGTCCGCCACACTTTCTTCCAAACTGGTTTCCATATTAGTTTCTTGCGCCACAAATCGTGACTGGTATATTCCCAACCCTCATGATCCTTGCCCAAATACTTTTCACCAGGTATACCCATTTTTACCCATTCTGGCACAAACATCTGTTTCCAGTCAGGCACTTGTACTTCGCGCCAATAAGGCACCTTTATTTCTTTCCATATGGGAACTTGAATTTCTTTCCATATTGGTACTTTAACTTCACGCCATATGGGAACTTGAATTTCCTTCCAAACAGGTACTTTTATTTCTTTCCAAATTGGTACTTGTATCTCCCGCCATATGGGTTTCGTTATTTTTTTCCACTCCGCCACTTTCGTTTCTTTCCATGCTGGTATTTCACGTTCAACAATATGTGGCTTTTTCACAATCTTCCAGTCGGGAACTTGAACTTCTTTCCATATAGGCACTTGTACCTCCTTCCATATTGGTACTTGAATTTTTTTCCATTCCTCTTTCCAAGCTTCCTTTTTTATAGTTTTCCACACTTGCACATAATCCTCTTTCCAAACAAGCTTCTTTTTCCAAACGCCTTCAGGTGGGTGTGCAAAAGCAAAACTTAAGAAGAGCGCACAGCTGGCACCGAATAACTGAAAGGATAGAAAGAATAAAACTTGATAAATTAATGATTAAAATGAAATTATTATTAAAATTTTTAGAATATGATCTTAAATAATTCAAAATTGTATAATGTTTATAATTGTCCTTTAGGATATTTTCATTTACATATAATATTCAAGCACTTCTTATTTGCAGCACTACTATTAAAAACTGCTAGCTAGTGTAACAGGGAAACCATTTTATATGCATATTTAAATATATATAAATTAAAATTAATTAAATTAAATAATTTAGAAATTAGTTTCTGATTTCACAAGCTCGAGGTAAAACTAATTTTTAAATTGAACGAAATTAAATATTATACTCGCGTATTACGATTTATAGCAATATTAATTAATTTTAATAATTAAAATTGTATTTTAATAAAATTATTTAATAAAATAAAATAGAAATTTTATTTATTAAAATTAATAAATAAATATGAACAAAATTTATTTTTATGTTAGAATTAAAATTTTATTTTAATAAAATTATTTTATAAAATAAAATAGAAGTTTTATTTATTAAAATTAATAAATAAATTTTAACAAAATTTATTTTTATTTTGGAATATTGCTATTTTAATAATATACATATGTATGGTATAACATTTTGCTAATAGATTAATAACGGAGCCATATACTATTCATTATTTTTATTGCAAATCAATTATATTAAATTATTTTCACTGTATCCTTTGAGCGTTAATTATTGGGTAAAACGTCGTATAACATAAGAAACTTATTTTGTATAAAAATATATCATAGCACTGAACTTTTATTAAAATTAATGTAATGTATTTAATTGAATTATTAATTCCAATTGCTAATAATGAAAGTTAATAGTTTTAATTAATTTAATAAATATTTTTTCAATTTATTTTTTTTTTTACTTTTTATCTATTAATTTATATTTCATTAAAAGAATGAATTTCACAATTATATTATTTTATATAAACAAACAAATACACCCACCAAAATTTGAAGGGATCTCATATTTAGTCCCTTATGTCGCGTTTAAAGCGAAAACTTAACTTTTAGTATGTGTGCCTTCGTTGAGGTCTTCTAATAACACTATTCACATTTGCGCGCATACACTTGTATTTATATTTTGAACAAAAAACTATGTACGTAAATGTTAACAACAGAGCGTAAAGCAATAATGGCTTAAACCCATAATATGGAAAATAACATAACAAAAACATTAACAGACTCACTCGCAAATGGAACAAAACAAAAGTGGTAAAAAAGCATGAAAGATATGAAAAACAGCTGCATGCGGCTTTGGCCTACAAGTAGCTGTACAACTCAGCACAAATAAATTGGCAATAATGCTTTTTTAAATGAAATCGAAAGCTGGTTTCAAAACACCCGTTAAAGAGTACGCCACGAGATTCGCTTTCAATGCGAGAGGGAAGGCACAAAGCACTGCAAAAACATTACCGTAAATTCAACATATCGTAACCGGCTTAACGCTGTATTCACCACAATTTTTAAAATTTGAATTTTTGGTATGAGTACAAGTGCAGTCAATGTTGCTCTCGAACAAAAATTGTCGTTATTCGTTATTCGTTGTCGGTTGAAATCAAAATGAGCGAAATTATGTAATATTTTTTTTTTATAGTTCATACTGCATTTTCTGTTTCAACAAATCGACATGAAGGACTGCACTACTGCACTATATAATATATTCTTGACTAATTAACTTAATTAAATGCAATATTACAACAAATCTCTATTTAAGACTAATTTACAGATTTATTTATTTAATCTTACGTTTTTTTATAATTAAATTCAGTTTTAATTTTTTTTTGTAATATAAAAATATATTTCTAATCAAGTTAATTTTTAGGCGACCATACAGCGAATTCGGAAATCCATCATCCGTGATCTTTGGAAAAATATGTAAATTTAATTGCCAGTATATTATATTTGGACTACAAATGTAGGATATTAAACTCTCTCAACTATGAACCGTGGATCCCTGGGTAAGCACATTAAGTTCACGTTCATTTAATTCGTAAGCATTTAATAATGCTTATACGTATTTCTAAACCACCATTTCATTTCATTTCATAAAATTCTTAATCATTTTTTTTAGTAAATTTTATTTAATATTAATGCCTTTCAATTCCAATAAAATTTGAAGAACTGTTAAACTCTTTTTAGAGTTATAAAATATATCATCCATAGCAAGAGGAAATTGCAGAAATGATAATACTTGTAGTTTAAAGTAAAAGATAGTGTCGAGAAATTATTTTTTGTTTTTGGCATCCACATATCCCTTAAAAGCATATATATAAGCTAATGTACAATTTATCCACTATTCACCTATTCACACATAATGAATAAGAGCTTTAAAAAAAGTTACAAGAAATATAATATTTCTTATGCGGTATTTGTAGTCTTAAATCAAAATATAAGATTGTACCATTTGAACAAATTGCCTTAGATTACGTCAAGTGAAAAAGTGTGATTGCCAGCTCTTCTTAAATAATTCATTTGCACTTTTTTTATTGTATTATACAATTTTATATACAAATAAACATTTATTTTATTCAAAAAACAATTTAAAATTAATTTTCAGTAAGATATATACTGTTTAAAAGAAATTGTGGTGTTATTAAAAAATAATTGCAATTTAAATTTAAGTGAATTGCCACAATATTAATTAAGGCTGTGTGCGAGTTCGAGTATATTGATGGTAAACTCAGGGAAATAGTAAATTATGTCGGTATGGCAGAGAATGTTGGTATTTAACAGAATTTCGAGTAGGGTAAATTAGGTAAAAATTATGAAAATTAGGTATTATGTTACTGTTGTGAAAATTTTATAAGATATTGAATAAATAAATAAATAAATTTGAAAACTTTTAACAGAAAAATAATAAATAAGTGCAGTGCAAAAAATCCCTTGGAAATTTCAATTTACTTTACCTCAATTTACTCGAACTCGCACACGATCTAAAAAGGTAAAGTAGCAGCTGTAAAATATTTTTTCAATTCGAATTGTTTTAACAAACTAAATTTTACAACAATTTTTTCTGTTTAAAAATGTAAATTGTTGTGCAAATTTAAATAGAACTTGAATAAATTATTCACAAAGTAATTTAAAGTGAAAATATTTAAACAAAAAATTTGTCAATATAATGCAGTATGCAGTGTGCAGTGGGAGTTGTAAACTAAGCAACGCATCGATATGTTCGACCAATAGAAACGCAGTCTCAAGTGTTGTCACACGTGATTTTACCAATAAATGTAAAGCCGGATGGCGCAATTTTATTATTTATCATAAGTATTACCATAAATATTAGTTTGAACATAGTTTTAAGATAGAATAACTTTAAAGCTACAAGTTTACTCAAAATATGTAAAAAAACCTTAAGTAGGTGGTGCATATGAAGGACAACAATATACCATTAATTACAAAAAAAACTTAAGTAAGGATCACCTTGCTTTGGAGAAATTGGTCTGAATATGTGTAAAATTCACAAATCTTCGCAACTACAAATACATACCGTTGGAAACGGAGTAATCCGTCATCGAAGATGCCTGCAAGAAATGAAGAAATACATAAAGACCTCTCGAATCATATATAAGATGGCTATAGAAGAAATTTTCCGACAAATTAGCAAAATCTCATTAATGATAGATTGGCTACACTGTTTTACAGATTGCCTGCATTCGAATAAATATATGCGCCCTAGCGAAGCGCTTTATGTTATTTTTATTTTTCTTCTTTTTTTATTATAAATATTTTCCCTTAATTTAATTTTTATTTATAATTTAAATATTAATAGAGAAAACATTAAGAAACCAATTAAAAATTGCAATTAATTAGTCTCACCCTTTCGTTTTTTATTCAAACAGTTAAAATCTCTTTAATTGGTACCTTTTCGAACAATAACAAAGCGCATATAGTAGTTTTATGTAATTTTTTAAGGAATTCTAATTTTATGGACTTATTAAACGAAATATGTATGTAGTATACAGCATAATCGACACAATTCATGTTTTTGTAATTGATATGCAATGTTTTCCCAATAGTCCGCGCATAGCATCATCAGATACAGTTTGGGCACCTAATACATAATTAACAGATATAATAATAACAGTTATTCGTAATAAATAACACTTGTATCATTTTGTATAAAAATTTCAATTGTTGCACTGTCCAAGTTAAAATCCATTTGATTTTGTAGATTCTATTTTCAGCTGTTAAAATTTCGTTACAAATCTTTTTGATTGGAATTTGTTTTGTTATCGAAATCAAGAAATGACAGCTTAAATCACCATCAAAAGTCTCGTGTGAATCCACTATAAATATTTGTGCAAAATGATGAATTCCGCAGGGTTGTCATTATAACAAAATTTGCAAGAAAAGAAGTAAAAATATAATATTTAACGTTGATATCGTGTGCTATAGTAGTAGTTTCTTTTCAATATTTATTTGTAATGTGAAAAAACGGTTTTGCAAACAGGTTTTTATAGTTCCAAATTCTTTTATAATTGAAAGCATTTGATAGAGATCTACACATTCCACATACATGGCGCTCAATTCTCCACTGCGTGGTAACCCTAGAGTGTATGTGTCATTTGTCACAATTGGTACAATTGTGTTTACAGTTTTATAATTAACACAATTTCGCATTTATCTCCATAAATATGTAGCAGTTAGCTGTATTTCCCATATAAAATGCATATAAAATGAGAGAGATAATGGCTTATAAAGTAGACAATTATTTTTCAATTGCTTTTAATTAGAAAAATATGGCAGTGAATCTTATTAAAAGTAAACTTCATAAAAAACAAACTTATCTTCAAACATGTTAAATTAAAATAAAAATAATACACTTTCAGGAGTAGAATATAATTTCATATTATATTTAATTTAAGTTTAAATGATGTTTTATTAACTTAATTTGTAGCTCTATATATTTTGCAATATTTGATTTTGCTTTTGTTTTTTCTTGTTTTTTGTTACTATTTGAAAATATCATTACCTTGGATTTAACATTTAATTTTGAAGTGTCGTAAAATGACGTACCTTCACAAAATGATTAAAGAAACCCAAATGTCGAATATATTTTGATTTTTAAAATCTATTATTGTTCACTGAAAAATTGATATGCTAACGTAAAGTATTTAATAAATATGAATACAGTAAATGTATCGTGTTGTATCATTTTTTAGACATACAAAAAGGTGCCAGGACTTCTAGAGCATTGGGAGTTCCATCTAAATGATGTTCTTGCAATATGGTTTGCAGGACTTCGAAGTGTGTGGCCGATCCATTGCAATTTGCGTCTTGTTGTGTACGGCTCCACAGGTCTTCATTTTCTGTTCTTTCAGGTCATCTTATACCAAGTATTCTGCGCAAGCACTTGCTTATGAAGTTCTGTATTTATGACTCAATGCAGTTAGAACCATTTCATGTTTTACTGCCATAGAAGAGCACAGATTTTATATTTATTTCGAAGATGCGGAGTTTCGTTTTACGAGATATTTGGCTTGATTTTCATATGTTATGTTTCTCAACATACCGAAAGTAGAGTTTACTTTATTAACGCGCATAGCGACATCCTTATCAGCGCCACTTTTAGCTGTGAGTACACTCCCCAGATACACAAAGTTTTGCACGCACTCGCAGTTTTCTTCGCCCAATTTAAGCACCAGAAGCAGTAGCTATTGCGCATAACTGTTATACAGAATACAACAGCTAAAATTATGGTACATGGCTTTGACTACATTGATTATTTTCGGTTGTAGACCTCTGCGCGATATAGTTCTCCATACATAATTTCTGTTAATGTTATCGAACGCCCTTTTGAAATCAATAAAGGGTTCATATGAAGCAGTACGAAACATATGTCAAACAGAGCAGCTATCATATGTTTGATTAATGGATTGTCATTCTACTAGAAAAACAGTAATTATGTAGTGGGTGCAGTTATGAGACTTATTTTTTGTTTGTGGATATGTTAATCTACAAAATTGTCCCTTCAGGGTCAGCGAAAGTCCAAAAGTAACTGTCCAACAAACATTGCACCTACAAAAAATC